TAAGGCCCAAATCCAGTGGGCCCACAAAGGCCTAACAAGGAAAGCCCATAATCTAGCCCAAAGAGTAGTCCAATTCCAAAAGCAAATCCTCAGACCAATAAATCCAACTCTCAAATCCCAAACTCAAGTCCAAAGCCTAAAACATGAACAAGCCCAAAAGTCCACAGCAGAACGTACGCGGGGCGTACCCCTAGGTAAGCTCAGCGTACTCGATGATTTCGGATGGGGACTCAAATTAGTACTTGGGGCGTACTTGCATTTACACGGGGCGTAAGTACAACTTCTCCAAAACTCGATCCATGACTTAATCCTTTAAGTCCTTTGCATCCAAACCTCATAAAACCTTCAATATAAACTCTTAATGCATAAAGTCGGCATCTTTATGCATTTGCATGTCTTAATGGAAACCAATAACTATCTTAATCCATTAAAACCTATTCTATTCCGGCTAGAACATTCATGAACCACTCTTAAACATCAAGCAAACATTTTTATGAACTAACACCATCAGGAGAGGTAAGATCCATCATTACAAGCTCCTAGAGTGGCTTAAACTCACAAAGAGAACTTAATACACCATAAAATCCCTTAATCTTTCCCTAAACTCAAACTAGCATAAGAAGAAGTCAAGATAAGAACTTTTTACCTCCTGAAGCTTCCCAATAGTGTGAAGATTTTGGATCTATAACCCCAAGGCTACACCAAGCTTGATCACCAAGATCCACTACATTGAAATAATACTGAGAACCCTTCAAAATCACCTCCACGATCAAGAACGCACCACCAAGGGGATTAGGGTTTGAAATGAGGCTCTAATATCAGCGGAGGCTAAGAAATTAAAGAACATTGACCTTATAAGGGTGTTTAAATAGTGCCCAAACCCTAAAAATTATGGCTTGACACTTTTCTCATTACGGTGGGCGTAACCCAGCTTACGTTGGGCGTACCCACCCAGACACGTATAATCCCTCCTTGCATTCATGGGACCGATTTGCCAACTAATTCCATTAGGGGCTAATTCTGCTAATAACTTCAAATTGCTATAACTTCTTCACCATAGATCCGTTTCCAACGAACCTTATATCCACGGAAAGGTGGCGAGAAGCCCTACACTTCTAACAATACACCATAGCCTTAAAACTTCACAAAAACCCAAAATTCATAAATGACCGAGATATTAAATTACAATTATACCCTTGGGCTCCAGAAACACCATCGAACACTTGGATCACTTAATCCATAACACTCACATCCAAAAAGGGCCAAATCCTTCCTTGCCTAAGGCCATAAGACTCATGACAACTGATGATTGAGATGTAGCCCCGAATAATAAAGCAAAGCCAAAACCGAGTGTTACAAAAATGCATCATGATAGTTATTCACACCCATTATAAGGAGTGCCTAGGTCTGATTTCCAATTGATATGAAATTAGAGGTTTTTGTTATTTAAATACCCTTATATGGGTAAGTTGAAATAAATATTTAAATGAAGATTTTAAATCATTTGATAGAATAATTTGTGGAAAAGGTCACGAACATTTTAGCCTTTAGCATCCTAAAGTTTTAAAATGTAAAAAGTATATAATGACATAACAAAGTAATGCATAACATTAATATTTTTATTTGCTTGTCCTATTTTTGTACTTATTTGATCTTTGATTTTTGTTTAACTAACAACTGTTAGTTGTGGTTGTTGATTGTTTTTGGAGAGATGATTCAAGGATCATTAAATCTCAACTTACGTGAACTGGTTTTGCTTAATTTGATCTGGGTAATTTAATAAAAACTTATTGAAATAGTCTTGTTAAACTCATTTTAGGTATTTAAATTCCATTATGTTGCAATAGTTTTAATAAGATTTGGGTCATGAAACCCCTACATCTTTTGGAAAAGACTTTAAAGAAAATAGTTTTCGGAGGCGGATTCGAGTAAAATAGATTGTTATCTTCTAACTTAAAATGAATCCAACTTGGGTATTCTCACTAGGAAAATCCGTTGTCTAACCTATTTTGACATATGATCAGGTTGAAGATAGAGTCAAGAAGTAGAAGACTTTAGCTTGGATTTTATGAAGACCACACTTGTGTGATGAGCTTGAACAAGTGTTTTTGATACATTTATTATTAACAACCCCACTACTTTAACTTAAAAACGTTTATGCATTTTGGATTGTTTTATTTTTGCAAACTTTACTCTAAACGAATTTGGAATTTAAACTAAATGATGTTCTTAAAGGTGTTTTTAGCTAGATCCTAGTGAGGGGTGTTACAACACAATCGCCACTTTTCCATATAAACACCACACCATTTGGAGTTTTTTTTTCTTTTTCTTTTAAATCGATTGGTAGTAAGATGTGAGAAAATAGAGATGTGTAGTAAGATGTGAGAAAATAGATATGTGTAGGTTGAAGAAGAAAGAAACATTTAATGTCTTTATTTATGTAGCCAGAGTAACAGAAGACAGATACAAGCTAGAAAGACGAAAATGAATGTGGCTTTATAAGCACTTGGTACAAGATGTCAGATAAACTTAATAGATGTTACCATTAGGGACCAAAATCACCAAAATAATCCAAAATTGAACCATTGGTGCAACTCTAAACCTTTTTCAACTAAAAGCACAAAAAATTAACAACCAAAGATAGTGTTGTTAATTAGGTCAACCCGATCGGGTTTCAAGTTAAAGGTGTCAGGTTAGTAGGATTTGCAAAAATAAATATATTACTAGAAAGCCGACCTTAATTAATAGTTTAGTTAGGTTTGTGTTAATCATGTCGGTCATTTTAGTCGAGTTAATCGACTTGAATTGGAAGATAGACTAATAATGTGTGATTTGAACAAATCACGTCATACTATAGGGACTAAATATGTTAATTTCCAAAGAAAGTTTCAATTATTTTGTTGTTAGTGTAAGGTTGTACGTATGGATGAGCTTTAGAACCGGAACCGGTTTTCCTATATTATAAGAATCGAGAACCGAACCACTGGTTCTAGCGCCGGTCCCGGTTTTTCAGTTATTTTTCAAACTAGAACCGGTTGAAATATTATTGATAATATGTTATCTTCCGTAGCTTGTAAGTGATTCAATACTTAACTCAATTATGACTTTTCACATTTTAAATTTAAGTACAAACACTAAATTACATGATGAAAAAAGAATCAAGTAAGTCCGACTTCATATGAGTGAGTTATGCGCATTTTAAAAACGGGACAGATTCTAAAAAAAATATGTTCAAACAGAAAATACGCAGCATTGATATGCTATCTTCTGAGATCTATAACTGATTCAATATCTAACCAAAATATATGTTTTTATAGTCTAAAATGAAGTGCAAACACCAAACTACATGCTGGAAAAAAATTAAGTAATTTCGACGTCATATGAATGACTTATGTACGTTTAAAAAAATGGGACAGATTAAAAAAAAACAAAAAATGTTGAAATAGAAAAAAAAAGGCAACATCGATATTTCTTTCTTTCGGGGCATGTATCTGATTCAATATCTAACCAAAACATATGTTTGTACAGTCAAAAATTAATTATAAACTCCAAATTACATGTTGGAAAAAATATCAAATAATTCTGACTTAATATAAGTAAGTTATACACCTTTTAAAAAAAAGAAAACTGTCAAACCGGTTCCGGTTTTTAGAACCGGGTTTTCATAAAAATGGAGAACCCGGAACTTGTTACCAATTCCGGTTCCGATTCCCCTAATGCTCATCCCTAGTTGTATGCATAAAGCTAAGATGGATTTAAATGTTATTGTAATAAATTATTTATTAGTAAAAGGACTGAAAATGTAAATTTTCAAAAAAGATTTTCACTCCGTGACTTGCTGATGACTTGACTACGATGATAAAAAAAAAAAGTTTGAAACTCTTCATGATATGAAGAGTTTTGTCAGTTTTAATTTTATCTATTTTTTTACCACAAAATGGACACCTAAATTGCTAAAAAAAAAAAAAGGCAATATTATTTTATTCCTATGGCAAAGATTAATTAAAAAAAAAAAAAAAAAAAAAAAAAAAAAAAAAAAAAAAAAAATCGCTAATTTTAGCCACAAATTAGCAAAATTATTCATTTGAATATTTCACTAAAATTTTATATTTCTAACTCATAACTAAAAAACACAATTTAAAAAAAAAAAATACACAAACAATATAGATAGAAGTTTTATTAAAAATTTTAAAACTAATAAATATAAGTATATAATATACCACACCAATATATTATTTTTCGTTTTTTTCTAAACTAACATATTATACAAAGCTATGTTTTTGTACGACTAACTGCCAATAAAATTATTTTGTTTGGCGTTCAAACAATCAAATGATAACACACGGAAGAATTTTCCATAAAGCAAACACCATCAGAGGACCAGTCGTCTTCCGGCTCCACCACACACATACCATGCGGGCCCTCATGCGCGTTCAATCCACGCGCCGTCGTAGCAATAATAACCATTCGCCGGACTGCCAAAAAGATGACGAAAAAGCAATTAGTCTTATAATGTCTTCTAGAACGACCTTTAGTTCCATTGATTTAAGAGGATACAAATGAATCATTATCATAACATTATTATTAATGATGACGAAAAAGCATTTAGTGTTATAATAGTCTTCTCATCTAAGTAAAGTTTGTTGAAGTTGGCAGCACGGCAGGTTCAGAAAAAAAAAAAAAAAAATCAAGTGGGTAAGCGGCCAAATCTATCTCTCTCATTCAAACCCTAGAAGGAAGGAAGAATTGTTGTTAATTTTTAATCTTTAAAGAAAGAAATTGGTATATATAAAGTCATGAAAAGGTGAAAGGTGGTGGGGGACAATAAAGATGGAAAAAGTAGTAAGAATTGTTGTTCATATTAATAAATCAATCTTCTCATAGGGCCTCAAGGAACGAAACCAATTCAAAGTTTCTTCCTTTTAAGTTTTAATTAACCATTAAAACTCATATAACTCTTTCTCTTTTCTCCCTCTCTTAAATAAAGTTGGTAAGAAGAAATGAGTCATGTAGAAGGATGCCATGTCAGAGAAAGGTTTATCTAAAGAGAGGGAGGATCAGGATATTTTGTTTTGTGTAGAATCGATCAACCAACATGAAACAGCTTTCTGGAAAGGGTTTTTGGAAATCCAGTGGAATTTTTTATAGTTAAGGTAAGATTTGTTCTTTATTATACGTCATTTGAGTTATGATTTTCTGTTATATCTTGTGAAATTGCATGAGTTATGATTTTTTGTTGTATCAACTTTATTAATGCTCAATTATGCATCTGGAGTATGTGATGCATATAAGGTGTTTCTTGATCTACCCAGAAATTTTCGTATTTCATGTTTTTTCGATCCTTTTTGTAAAATATTCACCTTAAAATTTTTACAGGGTTTGATAGTAATGCTGGGAACATATGGGGAGAAAAGGGAGTTGGTTTTCTGCAATCAAGAAGGTTTTTACATCCAACTCCAAAGACAAGTTACACAATGTAAGTAGTTTGATTATTGAAAATATCATTTTTTTTTTCACATAAAAATGTCATTGATATATCAAAAAGTTTCGATTTTTATTCATTTTCTTGATCTCTCGTGGTCGTAGGACGTCGAAAAGAAAACTCCTGATGAAAAGAAGAAGGGGCGAGTGAAATCAAGAAATGGAGAAAATAGATCTTTCATTCCTCTCTTTAGAGAGCCAAGTAGCATTGAGAAAATCTTGGGCGAAGTTGATCAATTATTGTATATCGGACATCCTACACCTGTCCACCAACCACAACCACCACCGCCACCGGAATCTATACATTCCTTCAGGCCGCCCTCTCCAAGGGTTGGTGGCTCTTATCGAGCCGCCTCTCCTAAGGCGGCTTCCCCACGAAACTCCCCTCCTAGGGCAGCTCATCGTCAGACAGAAATTGCGTATAGACCGGAGCCAACCGTAAGACAACACCATCTTTCAGCTACCATAATCCAAGCCGCCTATAGAGGTTATATGGTATGTTTTTATTGTTTATAATGTGAGTTCCGATGATTAAGCATTTTCTGCAAAAGAGTTATTCTTCAAGCAATCCTACCCACACTGTCTTTGTTCATAATGTGAGAAGTAAATCAGGTATAGTGGTAGGTGGTTGAGTTTAGAGTTAAACACCTACTAGGAGCCTAGTCAAGATCGGAATTCGAACTCCCATATTGTGGTTGTCAAGACTCAACCCTTTGACCGTTTCTGCAAGTATACTTGTTGAAACAGTGAAAATCACAAGTCTTGGCCGTTACAGTATGAGAGTTTCAATTCTAATGTGGATTTAATCTGAGCATTCAGCTCTTATGCAGCTGCAGTATGAGAGTTTCAAATCCAATGTGGATTTAGTTTCTTATGAGCATTCAACTCTTATGAAGCTGCAGTGTGAGAGTTTCAATTCTAATGTGGATTTAGTTTCTTATGAGCATTCAGCTCTTATGCAGCTCTGCTCAGTATGAGAGTTTCAATTCCAATATGGATTTAGTTTTTTATGAGCATTCAACTCTTATGAAGCTGTAGTGTGAGAGTTTCAATTTCGATATAGATTTAGTTTCTTATGAGCATTTAACTCTTATGTTAACCGTCTACCTGCACCTGATCTACTTCTCACATCATGTTTATCGACATAATTAGGGTTGGTAGAAAAATAAATTTTTTTAAGAAATATTAAATATGTTGTAATTATTTGTGTAAATCTTATAGGCAAGGAGGAGTTTTCGAGCTTTGAGGGGTCTAGTGAGGCTACAAGGAGTGATAAGAGGCCAAAACGTGAAGCGACAAACAATGAACGCCATGAAACAGATGCAATTGTTGGTGAGAGTCCAAACTCAAATTCAATCACGAAGAATTCAAACGCTGGAAAATCAAACACTTGAACGCCAAACTTACAAAAACGAAAAGGAAGTGGAAAATTCAATCGGGAAATGGACCTTCAGTAACCTAGTAAGATTTCCTGATTTCCTCTTTACATTTCTCAAATCGAGTAATGTTAAATTTATTAAATTTGGGGATTGTGTATTATAGCTGGAAATGGGGGATGAACACTGGGACGATAGTTTGATAACAAAAGAAGAACAAGAAGCAAGAATGCAGAGAAAAATGGAAGCAGTGATCAAAAGAGAAAGAGCCATGGCGTATGCATACTCCAATCAGGTAATAATTTCAGACTTTCAGTTCTTGAAAATTGAAGTTTTAACGCGATTTGAACAATCAGTTATGGAAAGCGACACCGAAATCAGCTCAAACCGCTCTGACGGACATCCGATCCGGCGGATTTCCATGGTGGTGGAACTGGTTAGAACGTCAACTTCCGGCCGATGAAACTCAGATTAAGAACCGGAACCCTGAATTAACACCTACACCACCACGAACAAATCTCGATCGGAAAACAAGCCCACGTCCTCAATCAAGCATCTTCAAACAGAGCAACTTTTCGTTTGAGAATCTCGACACGCCGACGCCTAAGTCATCACGATCAATGGTTCCGACGAGGGGGAGACCACTCATGACTCCGACGCGAACTCCACCGTCGACCACCCCAAACCTAATGAAATACTCCAAACCAAAAGGCAGTGCCGCCGGTTCTCCTTACCCGATGAAAGACGACGATAGCTTGATGAGCTGCCCGCCGTTTTCGGTTCCGAACTACATGAGTCCGACGGTGTCTGCTAAAGCTAAAGCGAGACCGACGGGGAATCTGAAAGATCGTACGATGAGCGCGGCGGCGAGCGAGACGTCGTCGAAACGGAGGTTTTCGTTTCCTTTAACGCAGAACATTGGGGCGTCGTTTAAGTGGAATAAGAAGTCGTCGAGAAAGGATTCAACGGCGTCGCAGGCTCCGATGGTGTTGGAAAAGCATAAATCTCCACGGTCGATTGGGGATTTGAGTATGGATTCCGCCATTTCTATGCCGGCGGCGTTTGGGAGGAGACCGTTTAACAGATTTGTGTGATTTTTTTTTTGTTTTGTCGATTTTTTCATTTCAAATATTGGTGGGTTTTGATTTTTTTTTTTTTAAATTGGTTGGTAAAATGAGTGTATGTTCCTCTACTACATATTGGTTGATTATATAATATTTTGATGTATGATAATAAAAAAACAACTGTTTTGTGTGAAAATATTACGGTTTTTTCGTTTTCGACTAACAAGAATGTTACTAAATACAGAGGTTATATAAGAGAGAAAAATTTTAAAAAAAAAATTTGAAGAAAAAATAGATAAAAAGAAAATTAATATTGTCCTACAAAATAGTCAAAAGTCAAAACACAAAAATATTTGCATTTTTACGTGGACTACTATAGCTTTGGGCCATATTTCCATGGATATGGATCGGGCATTGGTACATAATTAACCTGATGACCCATATATTATATATATAAACCAAACTTTTTTTTTTTTTTAATGTTTTGGTTTTGAATGTCCCCAAAATTATCTCTAAAAAAATGGTGGAAGAAAAATATAAAGGTCCAGTGGAGTTAGTTTCTTTATGATTATTTTTTTTTATGTTTTCATAAAAAAAAAATAGTGGAAGAAAAATATAAAGGTCCAGTGGAGTTAGTTTCTTGAAGATTATTTTTCTTATGTTTTCATAAAAAATGGTGGAAGAAAAATACAAAGGTCCAGTGAAGTTAGTTTCTTTATGATTATTTTTCTTATGTTTTCATTTAGATTTAAGATTTACACAACAAAAAACCGAAAACTATATATTTTATGGATACTCATAGGTTTTTGTGAAAATCTTTTGTTCTTGCAATAAAAACTAGTGAAAATTCCATAAAATATACATTTTTCTTATAGGATATAAGAAGTTTTTTATTCGATAAAATCAAACAGATCTTGTTCGAAAAAAATACACTATTTTTGCATGGGTTCTTGACAAAATACACAATTTTCTCAAGAAAACAATGTTTTTCGTATGAGTCCCGACAAAAAAACCAATTTTCATGAGAAAATTATGTGTTTTTGCAGGAACTCATGCAAAAATCATGTCTTTTGCTCGATTATATCGTTTTCTTTAAAGCGATGTGTTTAAATGGAATAAGAAGTCGCCGAGCAAGCATTTAACAACGTCGTAGGCTCCGATGGTGTTGGAAGAATACAAATCTCCTCGTTGGATTGACAACATTATGTTGGTGGCGTTTAGGAGGAAACTGGTAACATATTTGTGTAAATTGTTACTGTTTTGTTAAATTTTCACTCCATATATTGGTGGGTTTTGATTTTTTTTCCCTAAATTGGTTGGTAAAAAATGGTTCGATGTTCCTCTACTACATATAGGGTGGTTATATAATAATTTGATGTATGATAATATTAAGGGATAATGATTTGAAAGGGTAACGAACTTTCGATTTTTGTCACATTTAGTCACTAAACTTTTTTTCGTTATCTATTTGCCACTAAACTATTGAAACTGTTCACATTTTACCCTTATGACCGGTAACAGCCGGTCATAAGGGTAAAATGTGAATAGTTTCAATAGTTTAGTGGCAAATAGATAATGAAAAAAAGTTTAGTGACTAAATGTGAACAAAATCGAAAGTTCGTTTCCCTCTAAAAAGTTCAATAACTAAATGTGAACAAACTTCCTATTGTATTATGTTTTAGCAAAATTATTTATTTTTGTTTAATTGTAGCAACATTTGTTGATGAAGAAATCTATGAAATAAAAATACAAAATGTAACATCTGGATTTCCATGTATCATCATTTAAGTATTTTTCTTTTGAGTTAAGAAGAGAGACTCGACGAGTTGACGCCTCAACTCGTCGAGTAAGGTCGCGACTGGTGATTCAGATTAATGAATGGACTCAACGAGTCGGTGAGGCGACTCGACGAGTCCGCACTGTTGGCAGAAACCCTAAATCTTTGGGCTCGAGCTATATTTAAAGGCACTTATAGCCTTCAATTGCGACTAACTTTCCCATAAGTGCGAACCCTAGCGAGCTTAAGTGTGTAGAGTGAGAGGAAGAGCTATCTTGAGCTTTTTGGTGTGATAGATCTGGACCCTTCTAGGTTTAGAGAGCCGAGAATATGAAGCTTTAGTAGAGTAAACCTTGGGGTTCAAAGTTAGGAAGCATTTATGGTATATATAGAGTTACTTTCATCTTACACATAGATATGAAGTATTTTATATAAATTACGTACTATGTGTGCATATTATTTGAATACTTGTTGTCTATGCTGGATGAACGATTTTATACATGTTTTAAAAGATTTAAACAGTATATTTATTTTATATCTACAAATATGTTGCGGATGAAACATGGGTAGATGAAATAGTTGATGTGTGATGAAATAAAATGATGAGAGATAGGTAATGATAGAAAGGTGGTGATAATTAGGTAAATAGATGATGATGAATATGTGATGTAGGATGAAAGGAGATACCATAACCTTAACCAGCAATGTGGCGATGTAGTCATCTACTAGAGTATAGATGGCGACCACGGACTATTCTAGACAACCCAGTGGAAACACCAGCAAGCCCATAACCTGTAGGTGATGAATTACGAGTTCAGGCGATGTTGTAACTACGTATTCATGTGATGATACTCTAACTCCTTACTATGAATTACGAGTTCTGACGATGTTGTAACTACATATTCATGGGATGTCACAAATTTCGCATGCCAAACCAATGGTTATAATTCACATCAGTGAGAATGGTTCATTTTTTTGTAAAACCAAAATCAGATTGGAGATTTTGATTTTTTATTTTAGGAAATGTCAAACCATTGGTTTTTTGTTTTTTTTTAAATATATTTTCAGGGATTTGTTTTTTTTTTTTTTTTTTATTTCATAGATTTCTTCATCAACAAATGTTGTTACAATTTAACAAAAATAAATAACTTGCTAAAACATAATACAAGAGAAGGTTTGTTCACATTTAGTCATTGAACTTTTTAGAGGGAAACGAACTTTCGATTTTGTTCATATTTAGTCACTAAACTTGTTTTCGTTATCTATTTGCCATTAAACTATTGAAATTGTTCACATTTTACCCTTATGACCGACAACAGCCGGTCATAAGGGTAAAATGTGAACAGTTTCAATAGTTCAATGGCAAATAGATAACGAAAAAAAGTTTAGTGACTAAATGTGACAAAAGTCGAAAGTTCGTTACCCTTTCAAGTCATTATCCCTAATATTAAAGGCAACCGTTTGCATGAAAAATTACGGTTTTTCTACTAAAAAGAATGCAACTGAATATAGGGATTGTATACGTTTTGAGGGAAGAAACTTACAAAAAAAAAAAAAAAAAAAAAAAAAAAAGTAACTTGGATATAGAATAGTTAGGTTATTCAATAGGATTGTCCAATGGACTATTGACTTTATGGCTCATGACCTTGGAAGATGGGATTCCGAGACATTGATCCTTTTTCAGAACTTCCTCTCGATGTATCCCTTGCTCAATTACTGTTTTACTTTATACTAGACGAATTCCTCCATGTTACGTGGTGCAGGTTAAAAATATATTGTTAAAATATAGTATTCAGACACCTTTTAGTTAATTCGATTCATCAATTTAGGTTCTATTATTATTATTATTATTATTATTATTATTATTATATTTAATGTTTTCCTTTTAAATATGTTAAAAATATATATTTAATTTTTTAAAATATTATTTGATATTTTACTTTAGGTTTTAAATTTTACAATAAATTTTTAAGCTTATTTGATATATTAATGTAGGTTATTTATTTAACTATATATTAAAGTTAACAAGTTAAGTATCTCATATTGATATGTCACAAATTCTTCCACTTATGATAATGTTTACAACTAAAAGCATATTTAAGTTAATAAAATAAGTATATTGTAAGGAAATATGAAAAGTTGGGAGATTCAATGAATGTGGTGAAAGAAAAAAATGATTCTTTTATAATATAGTATGATGATTATACTTTTAATTTTTAAGTCATTGTGATATATATATATATATATATATATATATATATATATATATATATATAATTATTTGATAATTTTATTAGTCGTTTAAAATTGTGTAATTTATATATCAAACGTATGATAATCTATGTATAACAAGTAACAAAATATATGAACAAAAATATGAACTACAACTTTTAGTAACAGAAAAATACAAATACATTAATTATAACATTTGTATTAAATATATATATATATATATATATATATATATATATATATATATATATATATATATATAACGAATAATAAAAAATATAAAAAATAAACACTACAACTTTTAATAACAAAAACAAAATTATTATAACTTTTCATATTTAAATCACAAATCTCTTCAAATACATTAATGTTTTTAATAAGTAAAACTTTACAGCTTTATAAAAGAAAAGAAAATAAAAAGTTATTAGTGATTACTAATTGATAATCATAACTTAAAAACTATTGAGTTGTAACTAATAAATATACATAAATTAGAAAACTCTTTAGTTGTAATGTGAGTTTCAAATGAATACAGTACTTGGAAATGTGTATTTATTATTATTATTATTATTATTATTATTATTATATTCGTCTGTATAATTGGTTTTTATACATCATTTTAATCACTTCAATTATTAAATATAAATATATTTAATTATAAATTTATAACATACATAGGTGCATATATATGTTAAACAAATCACATATAATATATATTTTGGTAAATGTAATATGTAATTCTTATCGTAGTAATATAGATAAATTACTTTCGTATGAAGAACATATCATGATAAATCATCATAATTACATATCAAATGTTAAAAATCAAGTTATCTTTTAAGTATTGTCTTGTAAATATGTTGTCTAGGATAACCCAACATAAAGTTAATAAAAAAATAAACATAATCAAAATAGAAAAACTACAATCAAATAAATAAGAACATTGAGTGGTTGAATATATAAATAAAGATATTACATAATTATACGTTTAAATCAAAAGAAAAAACTAACATTCGTCTACTTTGCTCAAACAAAAAAAACTATATCTGTTTTCTGAATCTTCTTTTTTTTAATGAACATCATTCAACCATAGAAACTTGATGACAATTCTTCACTAACCTGCAATCAAAATGTTTTTCTTGAAAACGAAAAATGAGAAAGATATTCCAAGCAAACATTGATGTTTGGA